TACGTGAATACGAAGAAGGAAGCGAAACTGATGATTCATGTGAAAGCAAGATAAAGACGAGACAAGAGAATCAAGCGAAAATTAAGAAAATAAAACAATAGAATCGAGCAAAAAGGGAGAAAAGGGAAACAAAAGAGTCACGCGAGAGGCTGGAAAACGAGACAGGAGAACTAAGAAAAAGTGAAGAAAACGAGACAAAGGAATCAAGCGAAAATGAGACAGAATAATCAGGCGAAAGTGAAGAAGAAAAAAGACAGAATAATCAGGCGAAAGTGAGGAAAATGAAACAAGAATCAAAAGAGAGTGAGGATGCGGATGAAGCTTAAGAAACGAGTGAAGAACACGAGGCAAGAACAACAAGCGGAAAAGGAGGAAAAAACGAAACAAAAGACACAAGAGAGGATGAGGAAAGAAAAAAAATGATGTAAGCGAAAGTGAGGGAGAAAAAAAAAAAACAAGAGTCGAAAATAAAATTGAAAACAAAAGAAAAGAAACAAATGCAAGTGAAGAAAAGCAAGCAAAGCGAACAGGCATTAGTAGAAATGAGAAAAAGAGAAAAAAAATAATAAGCAAAAAATAATAATAATAATAATAATAATAAACAAAAGGCAAACAAGAATAAAATAAACAAGGGGAAGAAAAGAAGACAAAATTCAAGCAAACAGAAAGGAAAAGGAAAAGCACAGGGAAAAGCAACAACAAACTAGATTTACCTGACGAGGAGACTGACAACTCGCCGCCACGTCAGACTCGAGAGGCCAAACCAACAGACAACAACATTCATGGCGAGTCAAACGAGAGAAATTCCTGACTGGGGGGGGGGGGGGGGGGGTTACCTAGTCCGCTGTGGCGAATATGGGTAAGTTTGTATAACTATTTTGTGTGTAAAAATATATGTACATGTAGAGTTTGTGTGTGTGTGTGTGTGTGTGTGTGTGTGTGTGTGTGTGTGTGTGTGTGTGTGTGTGTGTGTGTGTGTGTGTGTGTGTGTGTGTGTGTGTGTATGTGTGTGTGTGTGTATGTGTGTATGTGTGTATGTGTGTGTGTGTGTGTGTGTGTGTGTGTGTGTGTGTGTGTGTGTGTGTGTGTGTGTGTGTGTGTGTGTGTGTGTGTGTGTGTGTGTGTAGCAGCGACAGAGATACTTGCGTACTATACACATGCTTAGCGTAACCTACAACGTCTACAGTAAAATGTTAACTATAAAAAGACCTCAGTGACAGCAAAACCAACGGAGATTGGATAGCCGCGCTGACACTCACTATAATTTGTTAATTAATGGTCACATCGCAGAGTCAGTCGTTCACAGTCGTTCACAGGGATTCCAAATTTTCACGTCCAATATCGATTACAGACATCATAGTAAATCACCCCCCCCAAAAAAAAAAAAATAATAATAATAATAATAATAATGATAATAATAATAATAAATATATAAATAGATAAATAAATATAAATAACTAAATATATGAATAAATGATATTAATGATCTAGTTTATATTTACCCTTGTTAATTCTGAATTAGTTCATACTTTCATTAAGAAACGAATATGGAAAGGAATATGGGTATCTGCTGGTTTCTTAAAAGGCGGAATTATGAGGCTTTTTACTACATTCAGTAAGATGGGGCTTAATGTTAATTGTGGAAAGATCTTGTATGACCAATTCACCGTAGGAAACCTGTGTTGTATGTAATAATCTAAATCAGTAATGTAGGCCTATAATCTGTTGACAACTTCTTACCTTATTTGTCGAATTAGATAATTTGGCAGAATAATAGGAGATAAAACTCGTAGAATTTTTTCCTCATGGGTTGATGTGTATTACCAAGGACTGTGTATTATATAAAATGTTATGACAGTGTCAAGCATGGGTCATAGCTTCGCTCTTCACACACATTCACATACACACAAACATACATATATCATATAGTATATTGTAAACATAATACATTTTACACACACATACACACACGTGTCCTATATATTGAGAGCCAGTGCAGCATAATGCTTAAAATTAATTCAAATAATCAATTGCCTATGATTTTACAAAGTTATACAGTATTCATGTAACAGATCATTTGATAAGTCATAGAGATTGAACAGTGTTCACAAGTAGAGCCAGCTCGTAATATATTAGTGACCAAAACTGATACTCACTCACTGCTTTACTCATAGTAGTTTGCAGTTTATGACTCACTGGTACCCGTCACTGTAACACAACAATCTGCAGTACATTAACATGGACCGAGCCTTCTCAAAGCATTGCCTGGCTGCAATCAAGCCTTCTCGTTCTCGATTCACTCTCTATCCAATATGCACTCACGATCAACTGTATCAGACACCAGCTCATATATCACGAAATAACTTTAGCAATAATTGTTCATCATTATAACATCAAAATATCTGTTAATAGTTAGATGACTGTGGTACATTTTGAGTAATATTATCGAAGCCGTTGTCAATGAGTTCTATGTCTATCTAATAATGCAAAATAAATCACA